CTTTCATAGTTGCACTCGCGAGTCGTAGGACGACGTACCCACGCGTGAGCCAGGGCGGCAGCACATTCTGGCATGAGTTTACCAGTGAGCGAAGTCCCCTCACACAGTCCACAAGCGTAAATATTTCATAAACACATCCAACTTATTTAGTGCTGTGCAAGTACATAAATAACTACCATGGCTCCAAAGAAAGCTCCTAGTGCCAAGCCTGTGTAAAAGAAGTGAGAAATACAATTGAATATCAGAAAACCATCATTGAACAATTGAAAGTGTACAATTTTTGCCGAACTGTCCAGGATGTATTAAGAAACCCTGACACACCTTATGTATCCGCATAGTGACCAAGAATAATTGAAAATAAAGGATGCTTGATTGTTGCAGAAGGGAGTAACTATGCTGACAAAAAAGAGATCACCCACGATACTGGAAGAGGTTGAGAATTATTATTGGTGTGGATACATGAGAACACTTAGCCGGAATCTCTTCTGACTTCGTTTATTTGTGAAAAGGCTAGGCAGTTGCATGAAGATATGTAAAGAAACTGCCTGCAAAAATAGTGGTGAAGTGAGTGAATTTAAGGCCAGCAAAGCTGGTTTGAGAGTTTTAAGAACTGTACTGGCATACACAGTGTGGTAAGGCATGGTGAGGCTGCTATTTTCGGACACAGCGCTGAAAAAATATGTTGCATGAATCCATGAGTATCATAAGGAGGACTGAAGGACTGAAACCTGAACAAGTAGTTCAATAGTGACGAAACGGCCTCTTTTGGAAGAAAATGGCCAAAGAGGACCTTCAATTAACAAGAGGAACAGGCAATGCCAAGGACACAAGCCTATGAAAGACAGGCTGACGCACTAATGTTCTGTGCTAATGCTAGTGGGGATACCAAAGTGAAGCCATTACAGTGTACCAATTCTGAAAATTCCCAGAGTGTTCCAGGAAAAACAATTGTATATGAAGAGTAAATTGTGTGTGTTTTGGAAATCTAAATATAGCATGGGTCACGAGGGAAATTTTCGTCGATGGTTCAATGCAGTTTATTGGCCCTAGTGGAAGGAGTATCTCCTGGAAACGAAATTGATCTCAATGCCTTGTAGTAATGGACAATGCACCTGCACATCCTCCAAACTTGGATGACCTAATTTTCGAGGAGTTTGGGTCATCACAGTAATGTTCTTGAGCCCGCCGAATACCACTCCTCTCCTCCAACCCATGGACAGCAGGTTATTGCAAACTTTAAAAAACTCTACACAAAAGCAAATGTTTCACAGGTGCTTGACTGTGACCACAGACCCTCACTTGACCCTAAGGGAATTTTGAGAGAGCACACGTTCAGCATCCTCCACCTGCATAACCCCTTATAGGTATGGCTTTGGGAGGGAGTGACTACCAGGACTTTGAACACTGCCTGAGAAAACTGTGAGCCAGATTGTGTCGACAAGAGGGATTTTGAAGAATTTGGACTGACCCTAATGAGCCTATGTTCTGTTGAACAATCATGGTGGGCACTAGGGAGTTCGCATGGGTTGGATGTGAGTTTGGAGGATGTGGAAGCATTGGTGGAAGAACTACAATGAAGAGCTCACCACTGAGGAGCTGCAAAAGCTTTACAGCAGAGAGCAACACATCAGCAGCTCAGAACTTCTGCAGAGGAGGAGGAAGAGAGATGGTAAGAAGGTGCTTCTTCAGAATTAAAGAGAATTTTACTATGTGGGGAAAATGGAAAGCTTTAATGGAGAAACATCACCTAACCAGGTTGTTGCAGCTCGAGCCAGGGTTTGCAAGCAATGCTCCGATGACAACAAGTCTGGGGCCATTTTAGGAAGTTGTTTAGAAAACGCCAGAAACAGAGGCACTCTCTCTCCAGTACATTTTGTGAGACAGGACTCCCAGTGACTCTCAAGGTGGTCCTAGTGGCAATTAAGAAACAAGAAGAGAAGCAAACCCCAAAAAGCACAAATGGGACCTGAGGTGTTGATGGAAAGGGATTCCCCTTCCACACAATAACCATTCCACTCACATCTACCTCCCAGTCCTCCTCTCCAGTCTCCCCCATACACTAAGAAAATATCCAATAAAGGGACTGTGTATGCTGTTAACTGTTTCATTCATCATTTCCCGAGTGTATTGTTTATGTACTAACATGCATATTCATGTTAAAATAATTTTTTTGTTTAAATAACCTCTGGTGTCAGGAACGGATTAATTGTATTTCATTAATTATTCTTATGGGAAAAATTTGATTCGTAATCAAAAATTTCGTTATATAACGGCTCTCAGAACGGATTAATTAACAACGAGTCGGACCGTCTCCCACCGAGGCAAAGTGACCAAAGAGAAAGAAAATCCCAAAAAAAGAAAATACTGTTATCATTCAACACTTGCAACCCCTCACTCACACATGAATCACTGCTTTTGCAGAAGTGCCCAGAATACAACAGTTTTAGGAAAGTAATACTATATATAAAATACACAATATATCATCTCCAACACTGCCAAT